CCCCAATAATCACAAACTATCTAATACATAACAGCTTTCACATTATCAGGCAATTTAATTTCTTTGCAGGACTCGGGGAATTGGAGGAGTAAAAAATTACTTCTTTAAAACCATGAATCTACTATTTTCTTCCCACATGCTAACTGGTTTGACAACATTATCAGAAATTTGCCCAATACCAAAACATAAGACCAGCACAGCTCATAAAAGCAAAATTGGCCTATGAGCACTTTTTTTTTTCCTTTCTGACTTGTATTTAACAATTTCATTCATACCATCCTGACATTAGACTGGAGGGAGAGAGGACAAAGAGGAAATGCATGGGTCACAACACATGACAATTTCTTTAATGCAGAATGAGAGCCTCCTAAATATTTGGGTATCAGCAGTATCAGCAAACATCTTAAGGTGGACCAGGAGCCACTGAAATCTGTTTTCTCCCGTTTTAATTTTCTACACTAATGTGAAAGGTAGATTCTGCACTTAATGAAGACTCGGTGAGTCTTTGACAGCTAAGGAGAAACCTGTTCATGTTAGTTACTGAAGACAGCTTAATCTCAATCTAAATATTAATCCACCCAACACCACTGAAATACAGTTGCAGAATGTAAATATGCCACATGCAATGTACAATGAAAAAGGCTATTAAAAAGAGCACAGCATATATCAGAATCTGCTTGCTAAACAAATAAAATCTTTCATGTTCTGAAAAGCATTCAAAAAGTAAGCTGCAGATATAATTTTTTGAAATAGAAGTTCCTGGTTATTTTCTTTAATGCCAGAAAACAGTTACTGTAATGTTTTCCATCTGACTCTATTTGGATCACAGATTTATTGGCCCAAATGCTCTTGAGGTTTATGCACTGGAAATACAGCAACTACCACAAAAGCTATTTCTTTATTCCAGCTCTGAAGAACTGCTCCTTGCCTGGTGCAAATATTCTCTCCTAAGGTCTCACAGTTCCTGTGAGAAAGTCCAAGCTGGAAAAAACATCAGGAATTCACAGTGTAGCTGTCTGCATAAAACCAGTATATCTTAATCAGAAAAGCAGAAGGGGGAAAAAATACAAAAAACAAAATAGATCTTTGAGGCAGCAACCTCATTGACATTTAAACATATGGCAATTTTTCACAACAAGGCAAGCTGTATAGGTGCTGTGTCCTATTATTTGCAACTTGAATAAACTGGCTACATACCAGTCATGGGTGATAAAATCCAAATCTTTTGTGACAGTGACACAGAAAATCCCAATATATTGTACTGACATTAATTACCGCTTACTTCTGATTCATATTGGTCACTTAATTATTTTCTGAGAGAAAAGCCAACTCTATTATCATCACTTGGATCTCAAGAAAGCAATCCCATTTTCCTCATTGTACTGTGTTTACACCATATACAAAAAAATTTAGAGTTCTATACTAAATGTATCTTCATTAATTAGACTGGATACTAAGAATTCATTTTGTAACTAAAGTGACACCTCCAGGGAATAGGAGTCCAGGATCAGTCCTCAGATCAAGAGAATCTGTGTGGAATGGTGACAGTCTCAGAGCTTTCTCAACTCTGCCAGGCATGGTAAAGTTTTGTCACGTCCAAAACAGAAGCATGCTTTTGTTGATTCTGACAGAAGAGTCATGGATGCAGGTCAGCGTGCTGTGGTGATACATGCAGCTTGTTCACCGCACCCCGGGCTTCTGAACTAGCACAGGTTGGTCTCTGAGAAAGAATGAACCAGGTAATTAAGACAAAAAAGGGCCTGGGTGGAAATGTATGACAGGCTCTTCACTGTTGGATGGCAGCTTAGGTTGACATTTATGACTAAATGGAGAGTACCGTCTATACAATCTTTTCTGTGTTTAATATGTGGCTCTTTTTTTTTTTTTCCTTGCTCTCTTTTGTATTGTTGCTTGAAGTTAAGAGTTGCAATAAGAAAAGATGTCTTAGTATTTTGAGGCACAAAGAAAGGCAAAACAGTGAGATGATTTAGTCATTTTTTGATACAAACTTTCCAAGAAGTAAGGATAAGAATGAAGAACTCCTTCCAGCTCAGAATGAGGCACCCTAGCAAGGGCCAACCTCAGGAGCAAAAGAAATCTGAAGCTTTAAAGCTACTTTAAAAATGTTGAGGTCTGAAAGAGGAACAACCTAAGAAACTCTGCCCATTGTTTTAATGAAAAAAATATCTAGCTCAGACAGAGGAGAGCAAAAGCTATGCACGTTGTTCCTACTGACTGCAAAATATGCCTGTCCAAGCTAAACAGATAATGACAGTGACATAGACAGGTTTTCTTTTTTCTTCTTAGTTTTATGCTTCATCTTTGTGTTTGGTACTGCTGAGACAAGAATTGATAGTCCTCTGTTTTGAGTAAGTTGTTTCCAAGTTATTTTAATAATTTAGTCACAAATGGTACTGAGCAGCGTAAGTCCTGTTCTCAGAAATCAGCAAGTTGCACAAATCCATCCTAGAAGAGTAAACACCTCAGGCGTAACATGTCTGCAGATATTCAAGTGAGACCTCAGAACAGGAGGACAGTAAAACTACCCCAGGAGCACTGACAGAGCTGTTGCACTTTGAGTTACTGTTAAGCAATATATAACAGAAAAACTATACGAAGAACTGATATGTATGGATCCTATTGCAGGATTGGCACTTAATCCTAATTATTCCTTTATTAACCTTATCTTTCTACATGGTTAATTCCTTTCTGATGTTATGACTATTTTATCTGCGCATATTCTTAATGAATGGCCTGTGTTGTTTTATATATGAAAATACTTTAGACCAGACTTTTTTTTTTTAATCCTCACAAATGCTCTTATTCAGAATAGATATTAAAAAAAAATTAATCACGTTGTAATGGAGGTAGAACCATAGTAGTACTCAAAAGTGTTATTGGTAATTTATGAAACAATCATTATTCACAGTGTTAGAAGAGTGATTAACACCTGCAGGAAAGAGGTCCGCTAGTATCACGAGTAATTTCTGTATTTTCCCGCCAGCCCCAAAGATACCTTCCAAAATTTTAGCCGGAAATTTTGCTCATTTAAATGGCAGGACAAGCACACAGTTTTGTGAAGAAACACTGGAATAAATTTGCATGTGCAAATAATAAATTTTTTTAAATTTACAAAAAGCATGCAAGTACAGCAGTAGAATCTGACTTTGAGAATAACACCAGTGTTAAAAGTATCTTAAGGGTTTTTTTATTCCCTCTAAAAATAATTATTAAAAAAAATCACTCATAGAAATAAAAACATTTGCTCACACAGTTTAGGCAAAAAAAGGAAATGACTGAGTTTTGTTTCTAGCAAACAAAATTTATTTCTTCTCCTATCATCACAGTTTTCAGCTACAGACAACATGTTAAAATTAGTTTTGCATATATAAGATGTAAAGAAATCTGTGAAGTTTAATAAACAAAAGGCATATCTGTGCATGTTGATGGGTGGAGAAACTCCCATTCCTTCATCAAGCTCTATGTATTTGAGAAGCTACCTTTTATGATCAATAAATGGCATTCTACTTATGAAGATAAACAACTCAGTGCTTTTCTGTGCATTCTCATGCACATGCCTGCATGTATCCATGCACATCCACACAAAATTACAGTGCATACAGAATCAAATGGTTCAAGGGAATTGGTGACAAGATGCAAGCCTTTCATATCCCTGCCATTATTTTGCTCATTTTGGTAATGAAAAGACATTACTATCTGAAGGCTGCTTGTCAGAAATGAATAGGGCTGTCTCATTCCAGGTCACTGGACAACTATCTGCATCACAGATACACTTAGGAACAGAGGACTGGAAGGAACTATCAAGATCCTGACAGACTGTCAATTCCCACTCTCCCCATTGCAGCCAACCATGCATTAGGAATTTTGTCCAGAATAGCCTACAGTATATGCTTCGCACATACCCGATCTTCAAAACGCTTACGAAACTCTGTGACAGAATGAAGACTCCCTAGAAACACAAACCTCAGAAGCTATAAGCTATCACTTGGAGAAGATGTAAAAAGTCTTGAAATTGCAAGCTTTCCTTCAAAAGAAATTACCTTCCAGAGTGACTGAGTAGCACTCACCTTTATTTCCTTTACAAAATATTTTTTCTGTAAGGATAAATTGGCACACACACTAATGACACACAGTTTAACTACTGTAATTTAAATATGCGCTCTTACACTGTGTTAGATCTCACCCTCATTAAAGTATCTCTTGCAGATAAATATCTATGCGAAAACTGGTATTGAGATTGGCTTGTATGACTCACACTGGTAGACTGACAAGAGTACATGGTCATTGATGACTTACAATATGATGGCTTTAATTCATTCTAAACCAGCACATATACAGAAGAGTAATGCTCATGAAGAGAGATGCTTCTTGATTTTACTGCCCCCCAGCAGGCTCATCCCCCTCTGCCTATAGAGGTAACTCCAGCCTTGTATTTCAAGACAAACTGAGACCTGCCTGGTTTGCTTCAAAATGCTGAAACAGAAACCATGATGGTTCAGGAACTGCTTCCAGGACATGGCAGCTCTGTAGGCTGCATAACCGCATGAGACACCTCAAAGTAAGTTGTCCCTGTTTGTGAATCACACCCCCTAAATGCTGTCTTTTCAGATACTGCTTGAGACCTCTTAGAGAGGCAAAGCCTGCAATACCTGTTCTGCAGATAAAAAAGTCTTAAGTCTCCAGCATGGCCAACCCAGCAGATTCTACATGCAGTA